AAAAAAAAAAAAAACAAAAAAAAAAAAAAAAAAAAAAAAAAAAAAAAAAAAAAAAAAAAAAAAAAAAAAAAAAAAAAAAAAAAAAAAAAAAAAAAAAAAAAACGCGGCCGCGCTGCTGTTCCTTCCTCAGACAGCTCGTCGACTTGTTGTTAACGAGTGTCGCCGCGGGGTTCAAGGCATTGCAATCATGGCCTCCGAATGTGGCTTGATACACACGCACGTGAACCAATGCATTCACAAGGCATGTAAAACAACGCGGTTGCAGTGTCTGAAACGGCCGGGGCATGAGCACACCGCGAGCATATGGTCGGGTTCTGCATGCGAGTACGTGAACCATGGAACGAAACGTTGCAGCGAATGCGGAGCTCGTTACAAGCTGAATTTTCGGTCAGAACATGGTTCAAAATGAATACGTTACATGAGAAAGATATCAAGCCGGATACGATCGTTCTCATGTATACCGAGCTTGGATTTCGATACAATGCTCTTGGATTTCGATACAATGCTCTCAAACTGCATTGAAACAGAGTTATGCGTAACCTATTATCCTCTCAGGCCGAAGGTGCCACCATTATATTAACGTTTCTAAAAGATCGAATCGGTGACGACGGGCGCCGGCAGATATTAATCAACAAAGGAACGGGCGCAGAGAGAAATTTCGCTGCCAGACTGACGCAAGCCTTATTCTGCTTTGCTCGATTCGAAGAAGAAAAAATACATTCGATGTGAACGACCCTGCGCCAGAAAAAGATGCAGAGTACGGGATTTCAAATACAGGATTACATACGAGATTCAATGCTGCGGAGCACGACCCTCTGTGCAAGCATAGGAAGGATATCGATGTCGTCACGGACGGCAACTATCAAATGCGCAGAAAAGCGGATGGATAAAAAAGAAACGAAACTTCTTAAGCAATTGGCCGAACGACCACGCAATATCAAACCTTCGAAGAAACCGGCGGCGGCGAGTACCGCCACAAAGCATGCAGCGAAGCAGGCGAAGTCGAAGTCGCGGTGTAAGGCAGTGGGAAACGTGGAACAATTGAAACCGAAAAGGACCAGAACAGGAGGAGTTTTTTGCCACAGTGGACATGAGGAACACACCGAGCGGCACCAATCAAATTATTCACCTGGCGGAGATGCTGAAAACCGAGAACAAACAGTACAATATTGATTGCCTAACAGACATGAAGAAAAGCACTACACACGTTGGGACATACGCACATGATTGCGGATGTGCTCTGGCAAATAGCATTGAGGGCGCACTGTGCAAACGCGTGTTCTTGGATGGGTATCACGCTAAGCGGCGCAAGTACAATTTTCGGCGCATTTAGCACAACATCAAATTGAAGTATCAAGCGTGTGAACAGTTGTGGAACAAGCTTGATCGGTTCAAATTTATCACTAACTACAGGAAGGCTCATTACAGATGGTTTTTTGCGTCACCTCTGCATCTGGAGGAACAAAAACGCAGCCAGTGTAAAAGGTAGAAAAGACACCCGCGTGGCTATTCCAAAACGGAAACTGCAAAAGAGAAACAAAGACAATAAAACTATGGTGGTAATGCGACGAAGGGATGATAACGGCATCTGATAGATGTCCGAAAGGTTTGCAATATGTTTAGTCACATCGTCCACTCAGCTTCCCCGCGAACAGTATATGTTTGAAGCTGACATGCTGGTTATATCCGAGTGATGTACAAAAGCGTCATATCAATTATATAGTACATACCAGACACAGTAGGCTTGTAACATCTGATTGATGTTTGTTTGCTCTCAAAGATATTCAGAAACAGCATATATGACATCTGATCGATGTGCGATACCATGATGACACCGTGAACAAGGTCAGGAGAGCGTAGGAGAGAGGAGTGCCTCTCCTCCATCTCTCCCTCTCTCCCTCGCCTCGCATATCCTCCTCGTTTGTCGTGCGTCCTTCTATCTTCTCGTGCGCCCCTCCCCCATCGTGGGGCGCTGGGCCTGCAGCGCCCCTGCCGGCCTGTAGGCAGTGGGACCAGGTCCGAGCGCAGGGGGGGGGGGGGGGGGGGCGGGGGGGAGAGGGGGAGGGGATAACAGGAATGGCAGTATGAGGGTGGAGGGAGGAGCAGACAAGAGGAGGCACGAGGATGTTGAAGAGGGAGGACAACGGAGGTCGAGACAGAGGGGGACCGAGGGAGACAGAGATTTCCGACAGAAGTCGAGGCACGAAGGAAGGAGCTACAGAAATCGAAGGGGACCGAGGGAAGCCCAGGAGGACACAAATTGGTCGTGGAACGGACGGAGGTAGAGGGACCGAAGGAATCCGCCGATCCGGCGTGCGAGTTGAAAGGGGGGGGGGCCGGGGGGCTCTGCCGGGGTAGGGGGGGGGGGGGGGTCTTCCACAGAATGGGTTCGGTTGGTCGGGGTTCGGTTGGCCACAACGGACCCAAACGTTGCCAAGAAGCCGCCAAGACGGGCCAAGACGTTTCTGGATCGCCCAAAAATCAATCCAAGACGCCGAACATGAACCCAAGACAGCCCAAGAGGCCGCCAACACGCCCCCAGAGGCCCCCAAGAGGTCTCCCAAAAGGGCCCCGACCGGCCACAATCATCGATTTCCCTAAGGAAACCCTACATGTTTAGCATGTTCGCCTCTTGGGCCTTCACAGTATCCAAAACGGCTCAAGGGGCCCTCAAAAAGGCTCCAAGACGGCCTCAGAAGGGCTTACGCAGGCCCAGGAGGCCCCCAAGACGGCGCAAGAAGGCTCCAGGACGGGCCCAAGAGGCGCCAAAAAGGGCTCCAAGTGCGATGTCCGCGTTCACGGGCTTGTTGGGGTTAGGGGGCCCGCCAGAACCCCGAGTGATTCTGGAGGGGGCCGTCTGGTTCTGGAGTTCGGCCTCCCCCCAGTGATTCTGGAGTGATTTTCTTCGTTTTCGTTGCGCAGTTCACTGCTATCGAAGTCATCGGTGCAAGCGCGTGCCCTTGGGGGGGGAACTGCTTGCTCGCTTGTTTGTGATGCGGACCGATTGCGATGGGGCCAGTCGTTCAGTTACCCGATCGCGATCGCTTGCGCGCGCTGCCATCGAGAAAACGATTGGGTCACTTGCCCGCTGGTGGGCGAGCGAACTTCGACGGCACACGAGGGTGTGAAGAGAGTCTCAACATGGTTGAAGGAGGGCTCCAGGAGGGCCACGAGTGCGTTCCAGAGGAACCCCCAAGAAGGCCCCAAGATGGCCTAAACGGGGTCTCGAACAGACCCTATACCCACCCCATTATGGTAAACCGCTTGCTACTAAATGCTCTTAGGACAGTGGTTTGCTTACTTCGGCCGCGAATAGCGGATAGGTTGACGCGCATACTTGCGTTACTCATTATTCGTATCGGCGTTTGCCCTGCCCTATCGCAGACGGTAGGAGAATGAGCGCGCACGCGCGGGTGAAGTAGGCTTAGGGGGCCAAGGGGCACGCGTTGCGTCACAACATGGATACGTTTGGAAATCAGGCTGTCACCGTACACATGCACTTGGGCCCTCATGGGGCCCTCTTGGACTCTCTTGGTGCCCTCTCGGGGCCCTCTCGGGCCCCTCCAAAACCCCCCTCCGAGGGTCCCAAGAGGGCCCCAAAACGGCTCCAAGAGGGCCCCAAAGCAATATACATAGAAGGCTTTCGTGTATCTTGCTTCGGGGCCCTCTTGGAGCCGTCTTGGGACCCTCTTGGGACCTTCGGGGGGGGAGGGGCCCAACGGGGCCTTCTTGGGCCCCTCTAAAACCCCCCCGAGGGTCCCAAGAGGGCCCCAAGACGGCTCCAAGAGGGCCCCAGAGCAAGATACATGGAAGGCTTTCGTGTACGTATCTTGCTTTGGTGCCCTCTTGGAGCCGTCTTGGGGCCCTCCCCCCCCCTCCCGTCGACGCAGTTTTCCTCAGGAGGCCCGTCTCCTAAGTGTTAGTTACCCCTGTCGCGGCGCACCCGCCACTCGATTAAAATGCACGGCGCGGGAAAACGATCCACGGGGCAGTCGGCTTGTTCTTCGAGCCTAGCTTCGGGGGCCACACGCCGCAGGCGTGCGTGCGGTAGATGTTCCTACGACGCTTGGGCTGGAGCTGCTTAGCAGCCTCACCCTCAGGGTGGGCCCGCTTTCCGCGTGGCCTCGGCGGCGTCAAAACAGGATCAGGCGCAGTCCACAAGTCCACTGGCGAGCGGTGGCCGACGCTCTTGCCGCCGCGGCTCTGGGCGCCGTCGCGGCCCTCGCCATCGTCGCCGCTGACCTGGATGAGATTCGAGGCAGTCATCTTCGTCACATTCGCCAACTGTTCTCTGAGCCTGCGCCTCCTGTCCTTCTCGGCACGCTCCCACGGGAAAGGCATCCACAGGTTTTCGCCCTCCCAGAGGTCGGCCTTCTCGAAGCCCGCCCCAACCATGGCTCCGTTGCGGCCCAGAGCCGACCGAAAGGGGGGCCCAAACAAAATCCCGAGGCGACTTGGGCCCCTGGCTGGTTCATCGCAGTCAAATCACTCCAACTCCCGCCTGCCCCTCTCCTCTCCTGCCCCATCCACGCCCTCACCATCCCCCCCTCGCGGGGGCATGGGGGAGGAGCGGGGGAGGAGGATGCAAACCTATCCTGGCGTCCCTGGTTCCAGGTGAGTTGCACGAGGGAAGTTGCATATTCAACGTGAGCATGCCGATCTCAGCTAACGGTACTCGCGCAAGACTCACCCAAGAAAATGCGTCGGCCGACATGGAAGGTATCTGAGAAAACCGTTGCTCCCATTCCTCGAATTCCCTCCCCCTCCCACGGACAATTGCTTTGCCCCCCCTGCCCAGCGTTCAACCCTCCAAGGCAGCCGTCGCAATAGACGGGAACGCGCTGCTAAAGCTCACTCCTTTGCATTGTGGATCCCTCCCCAGGGCACCGCAATCACCTGAGCTCCAAAACCTGCAACGCACAACTTGGCTGCCTCTAGGGTCATGATGAGGTGACCGACTCCGCCCACTTCGTCAGGGGGCCGCAGGCGCTCTCCCACGTCTAACTATCCTTGTGCTTCGACAGGCCGGCCTCGATGTAGCGAAAGGTCTCCTTCTTCGCCTCCTCGTCGATTGACTCGTCGATCTTTTTCTGGAAGATGGGGATGCTAATGGAGACAGCCTTGGGCGGCTCCTTGTCGCCCTTCTCGCCAATGGCCACGAGTATCGTCGCGAAACCGAACGGGGTGAAGAGGATGTCGCCCTGGTTCAGGACACCTTGCTTGCAGTCGACGTGTCCGAGCACCTCCTTGACGTCCTTGCACGAGGCCAGGTACTGATTGAGAGAGCTGAGCGAAGACATTCCAGACTGGATCAGGTACGAGATGGGCATCAGCTTGAAAAACACTGCGCCTTCAATGACCATCGAGGCACATGCTACGCCTGGGAATACCACGCTGTTGAAGTCCCACACCCACGCGTACGGGTTCAAAGCAACGATGAAGGGGTGCTGGAAGAGGTCCTTGGCGCCCTCGAAAATCTGGAGCTCCGCGGTAATCTCATCGAAATCGAGGCCGTCCGTCTTGTCCAAGGTCATCTGGTACATGGCCGCGTTAGCGCTCATCTTCTTCTTGAGGTTCTCCACCTTCCTGCCCAGCTTCTCGGCGTTCTGGTCCTTCGTCTTGCGGAAGATGTCAACGAACTTGCAGTTCTCGACTTTCTCGTTCGTCCGCAAGGGCTTCGTGACATCGAGCGTCATGCCATCCTTGAACTCGAGCACGCCGTTATCACCCTCTGCGGCCTCGCGGTGTCGCGTCGGTTCGAGGGGCTGGCGTCTAACTCGGCCCTCGCCCCTCGGGGGCCCGCCCGAGGAGAGCTCCTACAGGGCCAGCTCGCACTCAGGATCAAGCAAAGTTCGAATCTCTCGCGGGGCTCTGCAAGAGCCCCCCTAAGGCTCCCCCAGGCCCTGGGCCCTCCAGGACAACGCGGCCCCCAAAGGGCCTCCCAAACCGTTTCCAAAAAAATCCCCACCACGTGTTCCTGAAAGCCCCAAGAGGGCCCCACGAGGGCCAGCTCGTACCCGAGATGTTTGAAGCACACTCTGGTCGCGCCTGGGGCCCTCTCGGGGCATTCTCGTGGCCGGCCCGATGCCCCCCCCCCGAAGTCCACGTAGCCAGCCTCCCCTCACCATAGTTGCTTTGCCCGATTGTCCTCAGCGTCGCGCACGCATGCTGCGAACGCCTTCGCGAGGGAGTCCACCATGCGGTGCTGCTCGAAGAGCTTCTGGATCTTGACCAGGGCAGCGTACTTCTTGCGGGAGGCATCGGCAGCGCTTGCCTGGACGTCGTTCTTCATGTGCTGCACGGCTGCCAAGCACTCGTCGAATTCAGCCTGCGCTGACTTGAGTGCATCGATGCTCTTGACCGCCTTTTCCTGGATCTCTGCCAAGTTCATCCTCTGGTTGTACTTCTTGATGCCGTCCCACTCCGACTTGCAGGACTCAATGGCCTTCGTCAGCTTAGACTTCGCTGCCGCATAGTCGATGCTGTCGAGGTCAGATGCGGCCCCTTGGAGTTTGGAGTAGGCCTTGTCGGACTGCGCGAACCTGTCGCCCTTCTTGTAGACGTCCAGAGCATTCAGCCGCTGCTTGAACTGGGCGCTGAACTTCTGCTTCGCACTCAGGAACTTGGAGATCGCCATCTTCCCCGTGAGCTCGACGAACTTCTCGGGCTCCTCGTCCTCCTCCTCCTCCTCACGCTCCTCCTCCTCAGCTGCAGCCGCTGCGCCATCTTCGTCATCGGCATTCTCGCTCTCCTCCAGCTGCGCCGCGCGCGTCCTCCCGCGACCCTTGATCTGCAGCGTCGGTGCGCCAAGCGACGAGCCGTTGGTCCTGGACCTCTTGCTGGTAGATGTCCGATTGCTCAAGCTCCTGCTCCTCAATCGCCGTGGTGCCCTCGCTGGGCTGGGGCTCGGTGCTCTTGGCGACGCGCGGGCCCTCTCCTGCTCTCCAGCCTGGGAGGGGACCAGGAGAGAGCAGACGCGTTGGAAGGGTGGCATCGGGCATGAGGCAGACAAATGAGAAAGGCGTAGAAAAGGGAAGCAGCACGGGAGGCAAGAGCAGGCGCACGAGCAAAGCATCTTCGCACCCTGAGAACCTTCGAAGCCGCACCGCCTCCCAGGGCCCTCCGCCCCGCGCGCGCCAGAACGCCCTGCTGGAACTTCTCGGCGTCCCTCTCGACCAGGTCGCGGAGAGCCACGGCGCTCGCTGATGACCGCGCCTCGGAGGAGCCGTACTTCTTTACCTTCTGCGTGCTCTTGCTGTGCTCGACGCACACGGGCTTGTCGACGGCCACGGTCTTCTGGCCCTTCCTGTTCTTGCGCTTCTCAACGTCGGGGTCATTGATATCCTCGTTCCACTGCTTGGCCGCCTCCTCGTCGGACAGCCCTTCCCTCATCTTGAACCACTGGATGTACGCCCTGTGGTGCAAGAAGATCACCTTCTCCTTAGTGGTAGTGCTGTCCACCGCCACCAGCTCCTCGCAGAAGTCTAGCACTTGAACACGCTGGACCTGTCTCTTCTCGTGCTTGTTCTTCGACAGCATGGCCAGGGCAATCGTCCGAAACTTCTCGGGGTCCGTATTCAGGAGGGCCATCACCCTCGACTTCAGAGATGGGCGGGCATTCAGGGTGCGCTCCAGCGCTTGGCACGCATTGAAGCAGTCAATGTGCAGCGGCCCCAGGCCGAACTTCTTGAACTTCGAGAACTCCGCAGTCTCCCCCCCGAGTAAGCACAATTGGCACATCAGCTCCTCGACGTCGGCGGTGGTGCACACCTCGCTGCCGAGGTACTGCATGATCATATCCTCGTCGCTGTCCATGTCGTGGTCCTCCTGCCACAGCGGCATCGCTCAAGTAGCTGCTATCTGGCTCGGCGGCTGCACTGGTGGCACCGCAGACTGGCCGACCTCAGAAACAGCCTGAGCCAAAACGGCTACGATCGGACGAGAGGGTCCAAGAAAAAGGTCGTGAGCAGGCGTCTTAAGTGTACCGATTTGGGCCGAAATCGGTACACTCAAGACGCCTGGTCGGCCCCCCGCGCTGGGGCCCGCGGTGGGGTCGGCTGCCGTGGCCTGCGGCTGCCATTACACTGGCGGCTTCGTCCAGCGGTGAAGGGCGCCCGCCGTTGTGTCTCACATGTCTGTATGGATGTTGCTTCGCAACTGTTCCGATTCCGATTCCGATAGCCCCCGATGGGCCACTTGAGTCCACATAGACGAAGCGGCCAACTTTGTAGGCATCGGAGGGTCCTCTCAGCCAGAGCCCGACGGGCCACTGGACTCAACATATGGCGGGATACTGGAGTCAAGGCGCGACAATCCACTGACGACGACGACGACGACGACGAACGGAGAGGTTACCACTTGGCCCCCCTTCCCTCCGTTACCATTTGTCCCCCCTGCCCCCCGTTACTGGTTGTGCACCCCCTCCCTCTGTTACTAGTTGTCCCTCCCCCTTATGTTACGATTTGTCCCCCCTCCCTCTGTTACCATGTGGCCTCCCTCCCTCTGTTACCATTTGCCCCCCTACCTCTTGGAGCCCCTCATGGCTTTGCGCGAGCCCGAGTGGAAGCAAGAACGCACGATGAAGCAAGACAAGACGACGAGAGACGACGGTGATGCTTACATACCATGAAAAGTACAAAAGAAGTTAAGGTTGGAGAGGATCCCAAGGGGTGTCGGAGTGATTTCGAATGATTTCGGAGTGATTTCGAATGATTTCGGGGCGATTCCGGAGTGAGTTCGGAGTGATTTCGAATGATTTCGGAGAGGCTGGAGTGATTTCGGAGTGATTTCGAGTGATTTCGGAGAGGCTGGAGTGATTTCGGAGTGATTTCGGAGTGATTTCGAATGATTTCGGAGAGGCTCGGAGATGCTAGAGTGTATGAGGAGTGATTTCGAGCTGTTTGGTATTGCATGTTGCCCTAGCGCATAAGGAAACTAACAGAAACAAGTGCATGCACCTTGAAACCCGAGAGACTTTCAACGGGCGGTAGTGCCAGGAGAGCAGCATGGCTAGTCACGGTCTGCTGCGGAGACAGGACCACCTCTGAACAAGGCCATGCAGAGAAGTGCGTCGGGGGCCGGGGTCAGTGTGAGAGGGCGAGCGGGGTATGGACGAGCGGGTGTGGAGAAGGGATCAGAGAAGCACCGAGCACTTGGAGCGGGGCCCAGCGAGGAGGCGCAGCAGCATGGCAGCGGCGGATACCTCGTCTCACATTTTAAACTCAAGCTTTCAGCATATGGTATAGTTCTGGACTGTTTGGCCACTGCGTGCAAGTCGCGTGGGAAAACACCCCCGCGGCGCCCGATGCAAAACTGGAGTGATGGAGGGGGCGCTAAACCTATCCGCAACGACCAAGCGCACCGTCACCCAGCGCGCGGTTCCAGAACTCCTGAGCCGAACAACCCCCAGGCCAGTCTCACGTCTGGCCGTACTTGTTGGCGAGCCTCTGGTAGTCGGTGCCCGTGTACGCTGCGCAATGTTTGGTGAGCTTGCCAACCTTCGAGTGTTGCTGGAGCTGGAACTTCACTAAGTTAGTGTTGATGCGCTTGAGGATCGCGATATCCTTGTTCTTCTCCTTGATGACCCTCTGCAGCTCGCGCTCCCTCGGGGTTAGCACCATCTGCACCAGCAGGGGCGCTGCTACTCGGGCCTGCGCCAGGGACAGCGGGTCGACCCAATTGGCGTCGGGACAACCAACACCGCGACGAACGCTTGAGTCGAAAACAGCTCTGTGAGGATGATGCGGATGATGATGAGTGTAATTGTGGTGAGGACGACGAACAGGTGACCGTCGAAAGTGAAATTAACGCCAAACGCATGCTGGGGAGCAAGGGGCCATCGAATCGCACAGTAGAGTACCCCGAGACTTGGCCCAAATACCCCAGAAGACATCAGGCCAGGGGACTCGAGCACCCAAAGCCGACACTTTGCATGACAGACACATGCGATGTGATGGTGACGCTACGGACAGTGAGAATGATGACGAAGGTAATGACGGCCAAAACACATGCGCACTCAATCCATACTCCCACGCTGCAACACACATGAGGCCGATGATGAGGGCGACGGTGAGGGTGATGAATATCCGAGTGGGCTACGACATACGGCGACGATAGAGGCGCGCTCATTCAGCCAGACAGTTCAACATCACAAGTAGCAGTTCGCAAGTAGCCACGCCCTCTGGTCTTCCAGAGGAATCTCTAAAGCCCGACTCATGTGGGCAACCCTGCCCATGTGTCGGCCCATCTCCTGCCACACGGCCAGATAAGCAATGGGCTGGTAGATGCCCAGATCAGCGCATTGAGCAGCCATCGCGTTCCGCCTTCTAGCACAATTCGGGTGGCTGTCGCACTTCAGCCGATATCGGAAATATCCCGAGATCGCCATGCGATCTTCAGTGGCGAGGCGCTGGCCCCCGATAAACTCAGGGATTTCAGGGGCGGGGCCGGCCACGTCCTCGACCTCTGGCGCCAGCATCTCGTCAGAGGTACTCGAGCTCGAGCTGCTGGAACTCGATGAGGAGCTCGAAGACGAGCTGCTCGAGGACGAAGACAAGTCAGACTTTGGCGCCTCGTCGCCAATAGGCCCGCCAGATTCCGAGCCGTCCTCCAAGGCAGCAGGCTCGGGCCCCCCGCCAGGGGCAATCGCGTCGCCGTCTTCTACGGCTTCAGGGAGGTCTAATTCTGCAATCACGTCCTCGATCTGTTCCCCTTGTAGAATCCGCCTGTACATCTTCGCTGACAGTCCAGGGGGAACGATGCTCCCTCGGAGCAAGTTCTTGTAGTAATCGATCGGGGCATCGCTGCGCATCTCCGCCAAGCCCTGCCCCACCAAGGTGTCCCACGACAGCAAGCACTGGAGATACTCTCGGCGGGAACTCACTTTCCGAATGCTGTACTCTGTCAAGGGGGCACCCTCAGACTTGTGGACGACCAATGTGTCTGACATGACAAAGCCTCGCCTGTTGAGTTCCTTCATGATCACAAGGGGCGGGCACTGTGAATCGGCCAATGCCATAGTTGGTCGAGCCAGGGAGCACGCCTTCAAATCAAGGCAACCAGGCATGTCGTGGTTTCTCGCAACCTCCCATGCATACAACTCCTCCATGAGATCCGCCCATGGGGCAGTTGCGACGAGATCAGTCCGAAGTCCATCGCCATCAGGGTATATGATCGCGCCAGCCCCGCGGTCGGGACCCCAGAACGCATATGTCTGAATGGCTAGTTCAAATATCGGCTTCCGTACTTGCGCTCTGATGGGGTTGACCGTGAGCCATGGCCTCGTCACAACTTTCAAGACTTCGAACACGAAGGGGTCGTCGTTGTCTGGGACCGCGACGCTGTAGAAGCAGCGGGGGTGAATCACGGCGTCCAGGTAGCTCTTCTTCAAGCTTGCCCCCTGGTCGGCAGGCAGGGGGGGACCCCCGTGGGGCTCGACCAGCGCTGCATCGCGCCCAGGTGACGGGGGAAGGCCATCGCCGCCGTCGCCAGCACCTCCGTCGCCCACTGGTGGTCCCACGCCAGCGTCAGCGCCATCTTCAATGTCCGCAATCGCAATCGCGGCTGCAGCAGCGTCCCCTGTCATGATCTCTGCCCAATCGAAATGGTTGAACTCGCCGAGGCGGTATACTCGCTGAATGCACTGACGCAGCGGCTGCTTGACGCGCTTCAGGAACAACTTACTTTTCGTCTGCAGTACCCTCGTCGCGTGTCGAAACTCGCAATCTAGACACGCTTCCCCCTCGGGGCAGTCCTCGAGCATCGCCGCGACATCCAGGTTTTGCCAGATCCTGTTGGAGGATAGTAACCACGGCAAGCGGGAGACGCCGCCGCGAGTTTTGCCGAGTTTGGTTGACCTGTGGTAGCCTTCAGCAACCTGGGATGACAGCGGGATCCTGCGGAAGGCTTCGACCTGCTCCTCCAGGCGGCTTGGGACGTCGCCGCCGCTGCCCTCGTCAGCGATCCTCCTGATATCCTGCTCGAACTCGCCCATGAGCAAAACCGTCATTCTGTGATGGTCTCGCCGAGGAATCACTTCCCACTGTTGGATCATAGATTGGGCGACCGCCTGGTCCGTGGCATTAGCGAACGCATATGGCATCATATCAACCCAACCGAACTTTTCCTTGAACTCGGGCAGGAAGCGCCTCAGGCAAAATGTCAAGTCACTGAATACGGCCTCGTCGCCCCCAACGTCGCCAACCACCGGGGTTTGTGCCGTGCGAGTGAGCTCTGTCCTCAAGTCATGAACCCTCTTAGATGCCTCGTGGAGCCGTCGGCCCAGCATCTCGCACTTGACGCTCTTCCCCTTCATCAGCGCTTCCTGGTGGGCAGGGCGTGGGCAGGCTGCCGCCCAAGTTCTGAACCGATCGATCGGCTTCGCCATCATGGTGAAGCCGCTCACCCAACGCCAGAAATGGCTGTTACCCTTGTGCTTCAGAACCTCGTTGAAGTCCTGCGCGCCCTGGAGCGCACCGAGCATGTGCGGCCTGAAAAAAAGAACATATGTTGCGTAGCCTGCTCAGCGAAACAACGACATCCAGGAACGTCTCGAACCTCCACTTGGCGAACGACGCAGAGAAGTATCTCAACAGTTTCGAAAAGTCACCATGCCCATTTGTTTTCAACCAGACCACGAGCGCCTCGCGATAACTATCGCTTCGAAAGAACCTGCAGTGGGCTCGAAGAGTGTTCAAAATATTCGGCCACTCCTCCAGAGCCTGCAGCGATGCCTTCAGGCACCCAGAAATGAGATGATGCCAATCGGGAACGGCCACGCAAAACTCCAGCAGCCTACTGTATGACGCAAAGATTGCCGAAACTTGAAGCCCCAGCTTGCTCGC